TGAGGTCTCACCAAGTTGCTCAGGCGGATCTCGAACCCGCGGGCTCAGGCTATCCACTCACCTCAGCCTCCCAAAGGCGCGGGATGACAGGCTGAGCCACCGAGCCCGGCTGGAGTTTTCTATGATCAAGGGACAGTCAGGGTGTTGGAAGCTTCTAGAACCTGGTCAAGGAGACAGTGAGCTCTCTGAGGGCAGGGAGGGTCATTTCAGTGTCTTCCTGCCCGGCTCCCAGCACCTGGTGGGTAAACCATCTGCCCACTGAATAGCAGGAGGGTGTAGCACCTTCCTAGGCCACAAAGAGGGAATACAGTGATTCATTCATCTGTTCATTCCCTGAATAATTCTTAGCACAACAAGCCATGGGGCTGGGGATACAGAGATCCCAAGACAGACACAGTCCCGACCTTAAGATGCCAAAATGCTAGCGGGCATGACAGGCATGGCGTGACACCAAGCAAAGGCATTTCTGGTGGTGATTAACTGCAACAAAGAACCGAAAACAGAATGGCATTCCAGAGGACCGAGAGTGGGCCGCTTCAGGCTAGGGGGGTCCGGGTGGTGGCCCCCCTGTAATGGGGACACTGGAGCAGTAGCGAGTGGAAGAGAAGCCGGAACTGGGCAAGTTAGAGTGAGTTTCTTCAGGTTATTTGTACATGTCAGCGTGGACGTTAGGAGAGGACTCATCCAGGCACCTGAATGGTGATGACACTGTGGACAGTAGCATCGGGGTATGGGGGGTCATTTTGGGTCCGTTTGGAAATGGTTAAGCAGGAAAAGAAAAACTGCCTGGCAGGCTGTATAGGCCTCTAGGCTTTTCTGGGACCTGCCGGATTCCAGTTAAAATCCCTTTCAGTGGAGGGTGGGTCACACCTATAGTCACAGGTACTAGGAAGACCAAGACAGAAGGATCATTTGAGCCCAAAATTTCGAGACCAGCCTGGGCAACATAGTGAGACCGCCGTCTCTACATAAAACTGTAAAAATTAGCTAGGTGTGGTGGCGTGCACCTGTAATCCTGGCTACTCAGGAGGCTGACGCAGGTGGATTGTTTGAGCCCAGGAGTTTGAGGCTGCAGTGAGCTATGATCATGCCACTGCACTCCAGCCTGGGTGAGAGAGCAAGATCCTGTATTTAAAAAAAAAAAAAAAAAAGGCCAGGCTCAGTGGCTTAAGCCTGTAATCCCAGCACTTTGGGAAGCCAAGGCAAGAGGATTGCTTGAGCCCAGGGGTTCGAGACCCACCTGGGCAACTTGGCGAGACCTCGTCTCTACAATATATCGAAAAATTAGCCAGGCATGGTAGTGCAGGCCTGTAGTTGCGGCTACTCGGAAGGCTGAAGCAGAAGGTTCGCCGGAGTCCAGCGGGTTGACACTGGGGTGGCCTTGAGCGTGCCACGGCACTCCAGCCTGGGCGACAGAGTGAGACTCCAACTCAAAAAAATTTTTTTTAAATTCCCTTTCAGAGAAATCCTGGCACTTTGATAGAATCAAGGGTCACGGGGCTGGGGCAGCAGCCCCCAGGGAGGCAGGGGCGGGCTCTTTCTTCACTCCTCCATTGATGCAGTGATGTGGGGGTCATTGTGATGAGGTTAAAGGTCAAGTCACAGGCTCCCCCTCCGAGCCTGGGAGTTCCAGGAGGGCAAAGGCCAGTCTCATTCATTTCTCTGCTGGCCTCAGCCCCCAGTCAGCGCCCGGAAGGAAGCAGGTGCCCAGCTGGATGGGCTGCACGGGTGGCTGCGAGGGCTCGGAACAGAGGCCACAAGCCCGGTCCTCGGCCCCGTTGGACGCGGACACGTCCGCTGTGCGTGTTTCGCATTTTCTTTCTCGGATCTGCGGCCAGCCCTCCACAATGGGGAGCTTCCGCATCAAAACTCCCAGCTCCTCTTGAAAACCGACTGACTTGGCAACGCAGGCCGGCCCGTCCCCATGGCAACAGCTGCGTGAACGCTTCCTGAGCTTTTATTGAGCCTGGTGCTGTTCTCCACGCTGCACGGATGAACTCATCTTCCGGAACGTTCCAGGCGTTCGCATCCCGATTTTTCGCAGAGGGATTGGGGTGTTTGCCCAGGGTCACACGATTCAGGAGGCGGAGGCAGGACTGAAGCCCGCGGGCCCCCTCCCGGAGCCCAGGTTCTAACTCCTCCACGGTGTGACCTTCAGGACATGCCTTCTCCCTGGGCCAGGGTCACCCCCACAGGCATTTCAGCTTGCGGTGGCCCCTGCTGTAGGGTCTATCCAGAGGTTCTGAAGTGCATGGTGTCCCCAGCGCCTGAAACACAGACTGTGCCCAGCCCTGTCGGGGACCCCGCCTGGCTCACACGTCTTTGGTGCATTTTGGCATCTTTGGGGTATGGCTAGGTGACGGTCCCCAGAACAGAAATCTCTGGACAGGAGAACACAATGCCCAGGAAGCGTGTGGTTACTCCTCGTGAATCCTGCCCGCCTGTGTTCTGCAAACACCACTGAGGGCTTTTCTGAGCCCACCCACTGAAATCCACGGGAAGCCAGGAAAATCAACACCCCTATTTTACAGATGGGGAAACTGAAACCCAAGGAAGAAGGGTTTCCTCGGGCTGCCTCCTGTTCTGTGGGAGGTAGGGCTGCCTCATTAAGCTTTGGGGCCAGTGGGATGGGGTGCAGCTCATACTCGGCCACTTTCCTCACACATATGCAGCCTACGAGAATGATTCAATCCTCTCTTTCCTGTAAACTGGTAGTGTGTCTGGAATCTTGTTGGAAACTCTTCATACTTCATAGGTGGTGGTGTGAACTCTATTGGAAGGCACCTAATATTTTTGTCTTTGTGACTATTGGCTTTATTTTATTTTTTGAGTTAGAGTCTCACTCCGTCGCCCAGACTGGAGTGCAGTGGCACGCTCCCGGCCACTGCAGCCTCAACCTGCTGGGGTCCGGTGATCCTTCTGCCTCAGCCTTCCAGGTAGCTGGAAATACAGACATGCACTATCACACCCGGCTAGTTTTTGATTTATTGTAGAGACGAGGTCTCACCAAGTTGCCCAGGCAGGTCACAAACCTGCGGACTCAGGCAATCCACTCGCCTCGGCCTCCAAAAGTGCTGGGATTATGGGCTGAGCCACTGAGCCCAGCCTATTT